ACGTGTCCAGGGCGCTCGCTCTTAAAGGGGCCGGCTCTCTACCTGGCAAAGCCACCAACCTTTCGGAGTCCAGGGGTTCGAGGCTGAGAAAATGGGAGTCAGCCTCAGGCTCTGCGCTGCGGTGTGAGCCGCTCAGCACAGACCACGAGAACTTTGGCCCAGTACCCCTGTCTTCCCCCGCACTGAGTGGCCGCGGGGAGCGAGGCTCCCCTGGGAGGCCCCTCAGGGCAGCCCGGCAGGTTGAGAGCTGCGCAACCCCTGGGCCCCGGGCCGGCGCCCGACCCAACCCCGAGCCGCAGCGCTTTCCCCTCGCGGCCCCGCGGGAGCCTTCTGTCTGCACCCCGCTGAAACCCTGAAGGCGTCGTACCCCGGGGGACCCCGCCGGTCCAGGAAAACCGGCCGCCGCCTTCATTCCAGTTAGAAAATGCCCTGCAGGGCCCGCGCCCGTGCGTCCTGCCAACCGTGTCCGGACTTTGGACTTTGTTCAGAAGACATCTCGGGTCACCTGTTGTCTGGCCCAAGTTTAAACTCTCCCACGCAAGAAAGCGTCGATCCAGTCTCCACTGCCCAGCGGAGGGTTCGTGGGAACGACTCGCTTTTACCTGAGTCCTTACTAGGCAGAATTGTCCTAAACTTCACAAGCTCCTGATTACTTACCCAAATGCTCACACCCCTGCGGACCTTGCCTGCGCTAGTGCTGTTCTCCCGAGAAGGAAAGCTAAAAGTAGCACCTTGCCTCTAAATGTAGGTCCCTATTTTTAGGTCTGTTGAATAAAGGGGGCTGGATTTGTTCCTGCGAGAGGGTTTTAGCTGACACAGGTGTAATGAACAACCCACCTCTGAACCTTCCTTGCCAGCACAGCAACCCTCCCCAAATTCCGCCTTCCAACTCAAGTCCTCGTGAGGCCGCTCGGAAGGAACAGGTAGCCTTCCGCAAACAAATCACCCAAGAGAACTCAATAGCGGACATCTTAAATCTGTAGGAAATTTCCCTAATGTAAACTCTGGCAGAAACAGAGCTGTTGTACCAAAAAAGAATTTAAAAGTTGCCCAGGTTCACAGCAAGTGATTTTCAGAACCCAAATGCGGCCTGGTTTTCTGGAACTCAGCGCGTCCTCCAGTTTGCCACATCAGCCTACGGGGTTTCAGGAACCATCAGTATCAGGGAGTAGCAGAAATTACTTAATACTCCCTTTGAAAGATATTACACAACCTTCATAGGTTTGGACAGCGTGTGTTGAAATTATGTGAATAGCGTATTAAAGTCAAAACAGAAGCATAACCAAAATTTTATCTTTAAAATTTCAAAGAATGTTAGAACAATGTATGCCTCCATTAGAACATTGTATTACTCGACAAAAAAAATCATTTAAAAGAAAAATCTAAAAGTTTCACCTCGCCCATAGCAAAAACACAGTAAAACTCACAAACTCCGTGCCAGGTTTAAACCTAATTTCTACGGACTTAATAGTCATAGAGAAACTTACCTCTTCCTCTAGATCTTTCAAGTCCATTTTTAAAATTCATATTAAAATATCCTAACCTGTAGATAAAGTTTTACTAAGCACATCATATCCTAGAGAAGGATTTCAGATTCTAATACATCCTGCGCTCTTCTAACACTGTGATCCTGTGTTGACATGCCTGGGTAAAGGGGTGCTGTAGGTGGAGTTGTGACTACCAACCCATAATTCAATTTCATGGACATCACTGCTGATTAAATATCATACATACTAAATATCATACATATTATTGCCCTCTTAAAATCTACAATTACAAAGAGAAATCCTGAATTTGGTAACTGATAAAAATTAAACTGAATGATTTATTCTATAGTCTGTTCATGTAGAGTACTTAATTTTTATCATGTAAAAGATATTCAGAGATAGTTGTTAAGTAGACATGGGATTTTGGTGTCTTTTGGCTCCATTGGTTGGAGCATCATTGGGAACACCAAAAGATTGCAGGTTCAGTCCCAGGCGGGGTGAGTACGGTAGGCAACCAATCAATGTTTCTCTCACAGCAATGTTTCACATCAATGTTTCTCTCTCTCTCGCTCTCGCTCTTGCTCTCTCCCTCTTCCGTGCTCTCTAAAAGTCAATAAAAACATATCCTTGGGTGAGGATTAAAAGTAATAATAATAGGCCTGCTTTAAAGGAAATCAAGAATAATTGCTGTTAGCATTTGTAACAACTACTAGAAAGCATCCAAGGACATTGGAAACATGCTAGCCAGTAAACCTTATCCACAACCTAGAAACTGATTTCCCTTATGAAGGGCCTGGTTGCAACGCTTTTAAGTTCTAGTTACTCCCATTTAGTTCAACAGGCAATGTCACAGTCTATAAGATCCAGTCCGTTGGAAGAAAATCAAACATTTTCTTCCTGTGAACTGTGATGTAAGAGTTGCTCTCAGAACATACTGAATCAGGAACTACCTGTTGAACAAGAGCTAGATAATTTCCATTGTTTATTCTACATATAAATGAAGCATTCTAGTTAAGAATATATAAATGTTAAAACTCAAAGAGCTTACTCAATTATAAAATTAAGTAAATAAAAAGTGGTATTGATGCCTATTAATTAAACAATTCAAAGAAAGTATGTTGTGTACAAAACCTGATATTACCAGTAAATAGAAACAATTACTTGAAACATTTAGGCAAAAAGAGAAGACTTTCACCTAAATTTAGCTGAAAATTTTCTCAAATTTTCCATTCACTGCAGCTATTCAAAACTATAATATGGGTGCTTAAATGCACTAAAATTGTTAGAATTCTAGATATGGAAGGAACTCTTCAGAACATTTAGCCCATACATTATGAACTTAAAGCCTATGGAGGCCAAACAGATGAAATAAATGTAGGGAAATGAAGAATGCATATCTATTCATTGCAAGCACTTTTCAGCTTGAGCTTGTTGCTATACAAAATGGAAGACTATATATTACATTCTTAAGCTTTTTTCAAGAGAATCCCAAGCCCTGGCCAGCCAGCATGGCTCAGTGGTTAGAGCATTGGCCTGAGAACTGAAGTCTCAGGTTCTATTCCCAATTAAGGGCACATACCTGGGTTTCAGGTTCATTCCCTGGCCCTGGTCCGGTCTGTGTGCATGTGGGAGGCAACCAGTTAATGTCTGTCTCTCACATCGATGTTTCTCTCTCTTCCCCTCCCTCCCTCCTTCCACTCTCTAAAAAATTAATGGAAAAAATAACCAAAAATAAAAAATAAATATAAAAAAGACTCAATACCTTCCTTTGATAAGAGTTTGAAAACTCAATTAGAAAATCTTTTTAAAAAAGAGAGAAAATCCTGCAATCCAGATTTTTATGTGAACTCACCTTTTAAATGTTGGCAACTGGTTCATAATTTTTAAACAATGTGCAAGCTAGTTTTGACAGTTTCTGATATTACAGCTTAAAACCCAAGACTCCTCCAGATAATAAGTGACTTTCCAAGGTCACAAGATAATTAACAAACTTAAATGCAATATTTTCATTTCTAAAGAATTTCAACCAAAATAGTTCAAGTAAAATGTGTTTGACTACATTTACTGACTCTACAAAAATAAGCATACTTAGTATAGCCTTTATAAATAAGCACTTTATAGGAAAGGTGAATATCGTGTACTCATTAATAAATTATTTCATTAATTTAGTAACTTCACTGGTATCATGTGTGAGGGAGGGGGATAACAGGTGAGGGTTATGTCAGTTCTATGCTGGAGTAGATTTCTAAGTAAAGTTTGTTTTGTTTTTTAATTTAAATTTTTTTTAAATTTATTCATTTCTTGACAGAGGGAGATAGAGAGAGAAACATCGACTTTTGTTGTTTCACTTATTTATGCCTTCATTGGTTGATTCTTTTGTGTGCCCTGACTGGGGATCGAACCTGCAACCTTGGCATATCAGGACAATGCTCTAACCAACTGAGCTACCTGGTCAGGGTACTATGTAAAGTTTTTAATCAACAACTTCACGACCAAATCATACGGAGTAAATTCATCACTCCTCTGGGATTATTTAACAGGTAATGTCAACTCTCTGGAAGCTAGCAAATAAATAAAGTATGGCAGAAGCCTCTGAAAGCATAACTGTATATGTCATTAAGTCCAGTTTTCACAAAGACTTTTATAACAGTCAGTGGTGCTACCTACCATCTACCTGGTCACCCTTGCTAGAACCCTGGTAAGTTATCCTCACTTTTCCATTTTCTTCTCCTTGCTACATTCAGTCAGTCATTAAAACCAATGAAAATTCTATCTACAAAAGATCTATCTGTCCTTCCAATCATTTAAATAATCACCATCAGATATTAGGCCAAAGATTTTAAAAGGTGGCTAGGGGGCCAAACCCAACCTACATAAGGTTTTGTCTGACCTGCATGGTATTTTTTTTTTTAATCTGAATATTTGGCAGTATTAAAAATTGGGAGATTTTACACCAAAACCCAAATTTCCAACTTTTTTTGAAATATCAGAAGATCTGGAAAAAACAGGCTGAAGGTAAGTAACAGCCACATGCTTGGGAGAAGGCACACACTCTCCAGTTGGTTACACTTCTCAGCTTTTCCAGAACTTCATTCATTTCATGAGTTTGTAAACCCTGATTTATACTTTCACTATTTAATTCCTGAACTAATGCACTAACTTCTTGACTGGATTCCCTGCCTCTGGTTTTAACCCATTCAATTTTTATTTGACAATGCTGACTATAAATAGGCTTTCTAAATGAAACTTTTTCATTTTACTCCCTTCAATGTGCCCCATTACCTACAAGAAAGAGTTCAACTTCCTATAAAAACATACAAAACATTCTTGATTTAATCCCTGTATATATACATCTTCAATCTCAGCATATATTCAATCAGAATGAATTGCTCTTAGTTCTCCAAAAATGCCATGATCTCTCCAACTTCTGTACTTTTTAAAAATTTCTTGCTAATATTTATTTAGTATTTTTCCATCTCTGACCATATGTGAGATTCTTTTTTAAAAAAAAAAACCTTTATTTTTATTGTTGACACTATAACAGATGTCCCCA